TCCTTACTGTTAATTTTTACATTTTCAGCCACCCTTTTCTCATACATCCTTTTTGATGTTCTAATTTCCTGTTTCACCAACTTTCTTGATCTTTTATAATCTTCTAAGTCTCCTGTCATACCAGTCAATTTAAATTTCTTAAATTTATGATGCTTTTCTTTAATTTTATCTCAAACTGTTTGTGAGCCAACCTGGTTTTTTACCTTGAATATTTAAATAATTCAGCTGCCCAATCCACAACAGATAATTCTTGCTGCATCCCTTCAAAACTTGCTTTTTTGAAATTTGTAACCAAAATATCATTATTCCTTATCTCCATATGCAGCAAAAATCAAATGCAATAGAGAAATTATCACCTCTACAGCTGAATGGGTGAGCATGTTTGGTGATAGGATTCAAATTTGTACCCTACAGATTGAAAGTTGACTAACTCCTAACTCCCAGGAAAGCCAGGGCAGGTGGAAGGGAGCTAGTCACCACCAATCCTTGTGCTACTCTTTTACCAACAAAAAATGGGATTGACCATTGCATTGCACCACTTCCATGACTGAAAAGGCAAGCATGTTCAGTGATGGGATTCAAACCTACAAATTGCGAGTCAAGCCTCCTAAACAACAGGCCATGCTAGGAGTCTCCTTGGCAAATTAACTCCAGTAAAAGTTTGTATTTTGCAGCCCTAAGCAACTACCCACTTTTCCTGTTTGATAATGTTAGCCCTGACAATAAATGTTCATTAGTACTTTAACTTATATCTGCTTATCACACATCTTATAGAATAGGTGAGACTTATCTGGTTACTCTACTGGCATTTCATTGTACTAATAATTTTAAAATAAGCTATGTATTACAAGAGTTTTGTTTGCTTCATAAAACATTCAGCAGTACCTCAATTGTAGTTCAATAAGTTCTACTTATTGTAGGTTATAAAATAATACACACCTAATTTGGTAACCCTAGGAGGGAATACTTTAAAAACTATCAGAATGTTAACAAGAAAAGTACGTGCTTTTGACTTAGTTTTATCTTATTGCTTCAGGGACATTCTATAATGAACTAAGCTTAAAAATTGTTTAAATTTCTTAAAAAAATTATTTGTTTAACCATTCTTCCATGAAGTGCAAAACCGAATCATTTCAAGTACATTTCTGGCCATACTCATTTCCAAATCAGCACTTTCTCAATATTCCATTCTTGAAATGTTCTTGGATAGCGTAATAATCAAAATTATTCAACAGCAAAGGAAAATAATAATGGAAATGATGGTTACAATAATAATAAGTACAAATGTTCAAGTCTTATTAATATATGTGTGTAGTAAATTTTACTTCTTGCAACTAAATATGGGTAAAACGTGCATGTTAAAGATTTGAAAATATCAAAATGCTGTAGTTTAGTAAACTTAATCCTACAATATTTAGCTATACATTCTTTTTCTTGTACATTTATTAATCTATAGGTTGTCAAAACTGCTAAAAAATATATGAAATTAAATGGGGAAGCTTGATGGAACTAAACTAATTTTGGGAATTTCTATGAGACAATTATTTATAAAAACTAGATTTTAGACAATATCAAACTTTATTTGTAACAGCAAATGTACACTAATTTTCTTTCTTTTTTATTGTTGCTCTGTTGGCATACTCCTAATAATATCCGAGTCACCTAGAGAAAAAAGAAGGAACATTAATGTTTAGTTCCAGATAAATCAAAAATACAATATATTCTTCTTCATTTCTTACATTATCATCCACTTAACTCCCAATCAGTTTTCCTACTCTGTGCAACAAACTGCTTGTGGGTCAATGATTTTGATGGTTACAAGGTCTATAATATAACATATGAATAACACACAGGATTTTCTTTTTAAAAAAACAATGCCTGTATTGCAATTAATCCCACTTATTTACTGATTGGGCCACCTATATATATATTTTACACAGAAACTGAGGAATTTCACCCAGTTTGTTTCAGGTCAGTTCCTCACACTGTTATAATAGGAGAAGCAAAAATACTCAATATGATGTAATATGTGGACCTCACCTGTACAGAAATTTTCTGTACCATTTCTGTCATATAGTACTACTTAGAAAGCTTAGGTGGATAGCACAAAAGTTTAACTTATTCTGGTTTTAAAGCTTCATGATTAAATAGAAATAATACATATCATTACTCTTTTATTTTCAATCAGTTAATTTTATAAGCTTAAACATTAATTATTTCTAATACTATAAAGTTAAACATCAATTAAGCTATTTTAATTTATAATATTATAAGCTTAAACATTAGTTAGGCTATTTTAATTTCTAATACTATAAACTTAAACATCAGTTAAACTATTTAATATTCTGTCATTTCAAAATTAGCAAAACCATTGTTATACATTGAAGTTTACATTACATATTTACACCAGATTAATTACTACATTTCAATAACCGAGAATCTTATTCTTTATGTGTAATTTGTACTAATCAAATTATCCCAACTGAAAAGACACTAGTATCATCCAATTACCCTTTTACCAAATTATGTATGGTCATCTTCCATTGTTTGCCTTACCTGGATCTGTGATACTTAAAGCACAGACTCTAAAATATTTTCCACAAGCAGTTCCTAGCTCAATGTTATTACCAGAGTAATGGTGAACACCTGTTTTGGCCAGCATTGCATAATATTCAATTTCACTTTTCCTGTTGAAATTTTAAAATAAAATTATTGTATTGCAAGTATCCAAAAAATAACTAGACCTAAAACAGAAGTGGCATCTTTACACATCAACTATTTATTTAACTCTTTCAGTACAGGTTCGCTCCCTGGGACCAACCTCGTAATCATTTTGTGCTTGTTATAGTTTTCATGCTATAACTTTTAAATCAGTAAGCATATGTTAATGAAATTTGGCAGATAATCAGTAAACATTACAATGCTTTCATACGCAAAATAGTAAATTTTTTTTATTAAGTCTTAAGGTTTGTTAAGCAATGTTTTTATCATGCCTTTTTTTCTTTTCGCATGCTGCCTATCCAACATGCAAATTAATTTTCATTTTAAGATTAAAAATATTTTTATGCATCAAAAAATTTTCAAATTTC